GTAACACTGATACTCAGCACTCTCCTACAACGCCTTAACAATACGTAACATTTTCTATAATTTCCGAAAAAACCAAATAGACCAAAATCCCACAAACACAATATTTGGCAGATTTATTAGAAGGGGTCTTTAAACTATTCCCCTGGATGCCCCACTATGGAGGTTTGACCAGTTATGTAATGCCTGTGTGCTTTCTAGGGAAACGCTTACTTCCTCCATGTCCAAATGAGTCCTTGAAAGGCGATGGGCCCCTACTTACTACTACCGAGCAATCTAATAATACAACCGCTTTTGACAAAATATTTTCTTTTAATTTAAAAGAAAATGTATGAGCCCCGGACGGCCGTATAACTACCCTCCTTAAAGTCCGCCTCCGACTTTAAACATGTCAGTGAATAAAGAATAAAATACATGGTTATCCATCATAGTAGGCCTATTATTAAATATTATACACAGCATGTTGAAATCGATTAAAATAATGTATACATTAAAGGCCTACTAATAATTCAGATATTCGGATGATAAACGCCTGCAACATCATCAATTGGACCTTAAAGGACGATCGGGTCATTTTATTCAGATTGGCCTTATCATGTTTCAGAGCAACACATTTTTTGGTATTAAAGTAACACTTTATTATAAACAATCAATGAATTTTGTTACTCAAACGTCTTTATATTGATATTTTCAAGCCTATTAAATGACCTGAAGAAAAAGTGATCCAGAAGTCGTAGGCTTGCTGTACAATATATTATGGCGAAAGTATGTGTAAATAGTGTTACTGTAATAGAGCCTATTATTAAATATTGGAATGGTACCTTATAGATTTATAACCAGGTATCAGAGCAGCTTAGCTCAGTTGGCTAAACTGGTGGTAGCCTCTGTGCGCGCTAAAACGTGGGGATCTCTAGGTCTCCGATTCAAATAAAATCAAATCATTCTTTATTCATCACTCAAAATGGGTTGAATTTAATAAAAGTAAAGGGTTCAAACAGAAAAATCTAAACAATCAACATTTAAACATTTTTCAACAAATAGACCCACATCACAATAACAGCAAAATGAAACAGGTTTAAAGGGCAAAAAGGCAACCAATATTAAATTATTATTATTAATTATTATTATTATTATTTTATTATTATTATTATTATTATTATTATTATTATTATTATTATTATTATTATTATTATTGTAATTATAATTATTGTAGTGAGATTATTCTATCGTTCCTGTTATAGCTACTCATTTTAAGGTTTAATTTCAGCACTAGAGATATTCAGAGTACCCAGAGAGCATCTAAGCCCAAAATTTTTCGGGGCCCTTGGACGGGCCCTCGACTTACGTCAATTGAGTTATTTCCAATTAAATCCCAAGCCTCTAGCTATCTCCAACTTGGCACGTATTCTATATTCCAACATTATTGAGTAGTTGGATTCTTTCTTCCATAGATCGATGAACTGATAGGCCTGAAAAATACACTTTCGTACATAATTATTACAACGTCGAGCCAAAACAGTGTTTCTAATGTATTTAATTGAATGCTAGTTGGGCTAAGCCTATATATATAATAGACCTACGCATACTTTATAAAACATAAATTAACCTAATTTTCTGATAAACAAATTAAATAACATTAATTAAATGAAATATATTTAATGATATAGGCGTATTTGCTACCAACCGTAACACACAATTTGAAATAAAAGTAGAAGTATGATGACATAATTAATGTCGAAATATTGAATCCCAACACGATGGCATGTATTTCAATACTTGGAGTATGTATTATACTTTCTTATCTGCGATTAATCAGTGGACCTTTCAGTAGTAGGCGTATCGTAGAAGAGAATCACTAATGGGAATTGACCTCCGAAGTACTGTAGAAGTACAGAAATAATAGAGTGTTTTTTTTGTGGATAAAATATGGGTATATAGAACGACTAGGAAAAAGGTGTGATATCGAAATTCCAAAAGAGGAAGCATGTTATAAAGATATCCTGTTTTCTTTCCTGTATTTCTTATGTAAAACCGGATTTAAACTTTCAAAACGTTTCTACAATGTATATTTAGGCTTCATCAATACGGTATTGCGAATGCATCAATAGACAATAATTAATTAATATAGAGAAAACACAAAATAAAAAAATAAAATTATGTTCTCTCTTATAAAGTATAATAAAAATAACCTGATAGAAAAAAAATCAATAGGAAAACTAAGAGGAACAATGCATCGAAAAAATGGGGGGGGGGGAATAGCCTGGGCCGGGAATAACTCTCCAGGTAGAAAAAAAATCAGTGAGGAAAATTAGCAGGTGGTAAGTAGCTACCGTAATAGTGCTATATTTTGTAAAGTAAAGCCTCAAACCACCTCGATTTTGAGTCTACTAAATTTAAAAATCTTCCCAGGCTTTTGCAGATATAGCCAGAACTTAATATTTGGAGTTTTTTGATAGCAGATTATATTTTTTAGATTATAGTGAGTTAACCCGACTCAAAGACAAGCTTGCGTACAAAAAAACATGCACATTCATCTTCTATACACAATTAAAAATCAAAATTTAAAAGTAGATAGACATTTTGAAAACAGGAACAACAAAAAAAATAAGAAAAAAAAAATTCTCCCATATTACAGAAACTTCTTTGTTGAAACTAATACAGAAACAAATTCTTTTGTATTTTAAATATTCTTTTTAATGAATTAAGAAACATTAGAACATTCAAGATTAAATATAATAAAAATAACAAGCTTCTTTTCTTTTAACTTTTGGTAGTTAATATATATATATATATATATATTCCAATCTGCAGACAGTACCGTTTCGATCTTGTTAGATCTCATCAGTGCAGCTCAGGATTTTAAGAATGAAACACACCACTGACTCAAACATAGCTTGGGTCAGTCTTGTGTGACGTGGTACACTGATTTTGAATACAAGAGTGCACAAACCCAATAATAAGTGTGCTATGCAAATTGCAAAATAGTAAACATAAACAATGCACCATCTTAAAATAAGAGTGCTCTACAAAACAATGTACTACCTTAATAGTACAATGTAAGGAGCGTAAAAATTCCAATCTGCAGACAGTACCGTTTCGATCTTGTTAGATCTCATCAGTGCAGCTCAGGATTTTAAGAATGAAACACACCACTGACTCAAACATAGCTTGGGTCAGTCTTGTGTGACGTTGTACACTGATTATGAATACAAGAGTGCACAAACCCAATAATGAGTGTGCTATGCAAATTGCAAAATAGTAAACATAAACAATGCACCATCTCAAAATAAGAGTGCTCTACAAAACAATGTACTACCTTAATAGTACAATGTAAGGAGCGTAAATATTCCAATCTGCAGACAGTACCGTTTCGATCTTGTTAGATCTCATCAGTGCAGCTCAGGATTTTTATAATTTTAATAAAACTAATTTATTCTAATTTTAAATATATTTTCCCTGAATTCGTGATTATTCGTCGTCATGCATGGACTAAATGCGTGACAAATTTAAGATCACGCATGTGTTTCTGCCAAATGCGTGTTACATCCAAAATCGCGGGACCGTCCCGCACGATGCGCGAGAAACGGTTGGTAATGCCTTTTGTAAGCCAGGAACCAACAGTATTTTGTTACGTTTCTTCACAGAGGAGGGTTCGTCCGAACCCCTTGAACCCCCTGGATCCGCCACTGCTTTCCATTGACACCAATCATGACCATGTTTTATGTGGTGCGTCAGCCATCTTAAAATTCAAAATGGCGGCCGATGACTTTGGGAAAAAAAATGGCACCTAACTTTTTTGAATTCAGCACAGTAAAAATGATAAAATTAGTCAATCTATTTTTGCTCAAAAATCTATCTGGATTACATAGAAAACTAGCTTATTATACTCGTTCTTATTTTATGTACATTTTAAGTAAGCATATTTTGCGATTATTTTTAGACCTATTTTTTAATTATGTTCCATTCTGGCTTGAGTGACAGTAGTTTTTATATGTCTAGATTGTTGCCTGTCTAGAAATTATGAGTTTAGACACCAAAATCATATCTGTAGTTTATTTAGTTTCAATTTTATGCACATTTTAGATAAATTTGGCGGCCATTTTGGAAAAATGGCCGCCATTTGTATACAAGGAGTAAAATCATGTGTCAACAGGGCTTAGGGTGACCAGAAGGGGTTAATTAGGATATCTGGCTATGTGGATTGCTTCTAACATTCCACTCCCCCTAACTCATTTTTTTCAGATTTTTTTTCTAGTCTATATTTTTTATACAGGCAGAACGTTACTCTTAATTTTTTGTTGGCAGTTGTGAAAAGTTGCAAGGCGTTGGTGGCGCTGTTTGAAAATACACATAACAGCTGATTACAGTATATCAACAATGATCAACAGTCCGCAGCGAAATAGGTAGGTAAAAATAGCGTATTAAAGTTTGATATGTAGAAATAATCTTCCCATAAAATATATAACATATGGTGTGAATTTCGTTGATTACCAACTAAGTTTATGGAAGGGGAAAGGTGATACTTTACTGGACTAGCCTACCTAGGCCTAGGCTAGGGCCTAGACTAGACTCGCCTTGGGTGTCGGCTAACTCGTACCCATTCCAACTCGTACCCAAATGTAGATAAACTTGTCCCTTACCAGGGATGTCACCACGCTGGTCGGCGGTGGACGGGCCCGTCCAGCACTCAACATTTCCGACCAGGATTTACAGGCTCCCGACCACCACTATTATTTCAACAGTTTACAAATTGTAACAAAATAATTTACCCATGGAGGTATAAAAATATTTTATACCTCCATGGTTTACCTAAACACAATAGACAAGCTAAATTGATAGAAAAGACAATAAGAATACAATAAATGTTTCCGTGGTTACGTTAATTGTAACAAAATACTGCACTGCCCTGCTATTCATTGCTAACTTAACAGCCTAGGCCTAGGCCCAGTTGAGTCATAGCGAACATCGTGGGCTAGCATGACACGGTTGCTCTGTACACATTCAAAGATTAAAGTTGAAATCGTGACCATTCAAGTGTTTTATTATGAGATCATGGTCCGGGGCAGGAAGATTATTAAAAATTTACGAAACCTGATTTATGTTTTATTTCTTTACTTTGTTTTCATTTTGTATTTTAAGTTTTTCACTTTTAATTATAGTTGATATATAATGTGTGTAAATGGACAAAAAATAAATAAATGAGTGCACATGAATTGGTGACATACACATTCATCGTGGTAATCGTCAAACATGTGAAATTACGGCAAACAATGCGGCTGGGTACAGTCGGATCGACGCTTTGTCGCCGGGATTTGTTCATTATTATTCTTTAATCTAAAACAAAGCATGTCAACTATTGATTTTAATTAGGCCTACAGTAAGTCTCATCTTCATCTGTTTTGTTGCATTCCTCAAATTCTGACCTGGGCCTGGCCTAGGCCTACCTGGGCCTAGCCTAGGCCTACCTGGGACTAGCCAAAAAAAATTGCGTCAGCTAGCCTTGGGCCTAGGCTTGCTCGATTTACTTAGGCCTTTTGGTTTTTAAGAGCTTTCACGAATACAGCGACCCCAGACCCCCGGGAAAACAGGGGGTGGCACCCCACCCCCGGGAAAACGCAGAATGATCGCCGACCGGCACTTCAAAAAGCTGGTGACATCCCTGCCTTACATTGGTTAAATCGTACCCACGTGTATTCGTACCTGTACTTATACTAATTATAAATATATCTTACTATAAACAGTATGTATACTTACAAGTTTCTATCAATAAACGAAATTTAATTTTTGAAATACTTCAAATTCGAATTTAACTGCAACTTATAGTAGTTGCCGATCTACGGCTCTGTCACAAACACAAATACTGTAATACTATACCAGAGACTATCGGGATATGACCGGTTGAGCCGCCGGTAATTTCTATGGAACGTCAAGCGCGTCTCTCAGTAAATGTAGTGCGTCTCTCAGAGAATGTAGTCGGCTTGCCGATGTCATCAGTGAATGAACCCCCCGGATACCAGCTACATATTCATCCCACAGTCTTGTCAGTCGTTGATGTGATGTATAATTTTGTAATTGAAAATTAGAATTTTGATAATTTTATGTACTACATTTTTATAAAAATATATGAAGTTGTATAATTGCAAAATCGTATTAAAAATGTAATTTTATGTAGGCTTACTACATTTTTATAAAAATAAATGAAGTTGTATAATTGCAAAATCGTATTAAAAATGTGTTTATTTACGTTTGGTTTGCTCCGTATTTCAATTAACTTATTCGTTATTTGTACTATTTTGTTAAATTATTTAATTAAATTATTTATTATATATAAGTTTAACAAATAGTACAAAAATAAAAATATATAAATTATAAAACCATAGTAAATACTGTATAATAACATAGGCCTAACACATTTAAATTTATTGTTTATAGTCATGCAAAATCGTATTAAAAATATAATAACGTGATTATTTTTTATGTTTGGTTTGCGGCGTATTTCAATTAACTTATTCGTTATTTGTACTATTTTGTTAAATTATTTATTATATACAAGTTAACAAATAGTACAAAAATGAAAAGTATATAAATTACAAAACCATAGTAAATATTGTATAATAACATAGGCCTAACACATTTAAATTTATTATTATTCATGCAAAATCCTATTAAAAATGTAATAACTTGATTATTTTTTACGTTTAGTTTGCGGCGTATTCCAATTAACTTATTCGTTATTTGTACTATTTTGTTGAATTATTTAATTAAATTATATTTATTATATATCATTATATATAATAAATATAAAGAATGTATGGAGTTTTTTTTTTTTTACTATCTGGCAAGCCGATTGAATTAGACAGATGACTATAAACAATAAATTTTTATGTGTTAGGCCTATGTAATTATTCAGTATTTACTATGGTTTTGTAATTTGTATATTTTTATTTTTGTACTATTTGTTAAACTTGTATATAATAAATGATTCGAATGTATGGAGTTTTTTTTTTAACTATCTGGCAAGCTGACTGAGCAAATACTCGCAAAATTTAAATTAAAACGATAGAAAGAACAAGTAAATAAATTGAAATATGTCCCGAAAATATTTAATAAATCAGTGCAAAAACCGAGTATTAAATAAATAGAATTAATTGAGTAAATAAACTGAAATACATCTCAAACAACAGTACCAAGAACGAATAAGTTAATTGAAATACGCTGCAATTAACGCACTACAATCACTGAGAGACGCGCTTGACCGGCGGCTCAACTTGTCGGCGACTCAACCGGTCATAATCCAGACTATCCCTGCTAATACTAATAGCATCCGATGTTATTGTTTTGATGACGACGATCATGAATTTATAAATTTCATTCCTGCTGTATAAAAATCTTCACTGTACTCGCGCGAATAAAGCGACCAGGGCACTTAAAGTATTATTTGAACTTTTTGAAGAAATAGGGCGCTTATGAAGACAATGGAAATTGAGGAGGGCGCTTATGGAAATAAATGAAAGTCAGGGCGCTTATGGGAATTCAAGGGGTGCTTTTTGAATGAAAAAAAAGAAGATTATATGTACCGTAAGGATATCTGGAAACCGAAGATAAACGAATGGTTCTGTTCTGGTGCAGAAAAGGTAATCGTCCAGACAGTATGCTCATGACAAGATGCTGTGGGTATTTACACAACAGCAGATGAAGTTTGTGGTTGTGGTGGTGTGGTATTGTTAGCTTGTTGGCCATCTGCCAATTGAGATTAGCAGTGATCATTTTAGGGTTTCTTGCAAACTCAAATGAAATCGTGCTAAAATAAATCAACAATTGTGGCTTAACTGGCTCTCTGGTGTGATGATCTGTTCCTTACACCACATTTGCAATACCATCTTTGCCTGCACGCTTTACTCAACATTGAGGTCCAGTGCAGTATCCATACAGATACAGATGATAAATTTAGAAGACGATATTGAATCTGAATAATTGTGGGCTTGTTTCATACTAGTTAGTATTAGTACTCCTTACTAGATCTAGTGTAGTACTACTATGCCTAGTAGTACTAAGTAGTAGGCCTAATGGGTTTCGGCTAACTCTTACGCATGCCAACTCGTACCCATGCCAACTCCAGACTTTGCGAAGTCGTACAAAAACAAAGGTTCCAACCCTCCCGATTCGATCCCAAATTTGTTCAAGTTCTCCCGAAATTCAAAATTTTAAACTAGGCTAGGCCTAGATTTGCCTCATTTAACGTACCGCCAGTTAAAAAACATGGGATTTACATGATAAAATAGGTAAAATTACTAGGCCACAAGAATAAAAATCCGATAGGTATCTTATAAATTCAGTTTATAAACCACGAGAGACATTGATGCTATCAGAATATTTCAATGTTGAGGGCGCTTTTCACTAATTGATGGGTTTGGGCCGCCCTTCGCCTGCAAATTCTTCCGTCTCCTGATTCTTTAGGTCTACAGTACAGGTTGGACGTCTGCAAAAAATTCCTCAAAAACATGTCGCTAATTACGAAAGAAATTTGTAGAGAATAAAATTTCAATTTTTTATATTTGACTGTCAAAAAAAACCACGAGGGTTTTTTATTTGTTTTAATAAATCTGTTTAATTAAAAATTAATCTGTTTACACTGAGCTTGTTCCTGTCTGCAAGTTGTCATGCACTACAAAAGTTTGGGCGATCTGACGTCATCACAGCCATGCACATTTTGCCCATCCATGACCCCACTAAAAAAATTAACCAAACAGCCAGAGTTTAGGAGGCACGACCTAATGTTTTTTCACAAAGAATGTGTTGTTTAGAAAAAAAAAACGAAAATGCAGGTTGAAAACAATATAAAAGCATGAAACATACATTTTACTCATAATACAACAAAAAAGACATTAAATAACTTGATTTCATTAAGAATAAAGTTTAAAACAGTCAAACCTGCCTGTGCCTAAGTCAAAAAATTGTCGAAAGTCGAAATTATTTTCATGTCACTTCATCTTCCCTATATTTACAATGGTTAATACTGTAGTATTGTAGGCTACAATCATTCATGCTTTTGGTCAACAAAAAAGAAACTGAAAATACTGAACAAAAATCACAGTATATACTACAGTAACAAAACGAAAACTAATATTATATACTTATACTGCATGCTTAACAAAACGAAAACTAATTTTGAATACTAATTATATTCTACATACTGTATGCTTAACTAAACAAACTTACTTACTTACTCCTCTTCGTGCACTGGTGCACATAAGGCGTCTACAAAAGTCCTTCAACTGGGACGGTCTTGTGCCAGCCAGTTGAGCTCGTTCAATGTCTTTCTATTTTCCACTACTTCATGGTCCACCATACTCCTCCATGTTGATTTTGGTCTTCCTCTACTCATTTTTCCATCTGGTTGCCA